TGAAAATATTTTCATGTGTTCATTTACTTACATAATTCATAAGATGGATTTTTTTTGGAACAACAATATACCAGTAGAGCCACTGTCAGCTGTTATATGCTAAGAGCAGCTTGTTTGAATTTTAGTACCTTACTTTTTTATGTGGTATCTATTAGTGGCGATGAACTTTGTCCCCCCCCCCATCGCTGGCTCAGCGGTAAGTCAGTGGGATTATAACGCTAAAAATCGAGTTTTGATACCCGTAGTGGGCAGAGAACAAATAACCCGTTGTGTAGCTTTGTGCTTTACAACAAATCCTCGAGGGCTGATGATCTAGAATCTATTGAAACACGGTGCCAACCGTTGCTAGCGAAGATCAACCAATACCTAAGCTCGAAAGCCAATTGATACCCACAGAAATGTAGTGATAGCTGATAATTATCCAGCATGTTTTATGTCGCCAAATATGGAATATTATGGTATTTTCAAAATAAAAGTGTGAAGTGTGCATGGGACGGTTGATATGAAATAGCATAAATAATAGTTATTTCGGTATAATATTTCACTGTACAGTTTAATTTACGATATTAAATTGTTTTTAGTATATTTTTAAATATTAATTATATATCATATTCCTAATTTACAAATTGCGTGAGCTGCACTTTGGCATGCTTTGACAGAATTTGACATGCTTGTCATACTGACAGATTTCAAACTTTTTACTATTTTTGGCTCTTTGATTTCCTATTAATCAAACATTTAGTCTATTTCCACTGCAAAATACAGATTAGTTGGGTTTAATGAAATGCTTAAACTATTTTCTATAATCACAGCAGGTGTTACTTTTAGGAAGCTTATCATAACTGTTCTCGAACAAAGTAATAAATAAGCAAATAGACATTGAATAACCATGTGTATACTGTCACGCTTACTGATGCTATATATATATATTTATGGTACTAATAGTTGATAGAAATATCCTGGTAGGAGCGATTGTTTTTGGTTTGTTTGTAGTTAAGCACAAAGCTACACAATGGGCTATCTATGCTCTGCCCTTACACGGGTATCGAAACCCGATTTCTAGTGTTATAAGTCTGCAGACATACTTCTGTGCCACTTGGGGGCCTGATAGGAATGAAAGAGTATAAATAAAAAATGAATAACATTTTTTATGGTATTTCCAACATTAAAAGTTTTTCTAAAGACGTCGTTACATTTCACGAAACGACTCAATATTAACCTAGTCTTCTATTTCGACTCTGGTAATCTGAAGATTGAAGTTTTCGGGAAATATTCAATTAAAGAGAATAATATGTTTTAATTAGAAATTTTTCGGGCCTTAGATATTTAGATATTTTTTATATTACCTGCGAGAGACAGATATAGAAATTATGTAGAGCAAAAACAGTTTATAAATCCCATTCAAAAATTAAACTGTTCCCGAAACAAAGCAATGGTTTTCTGGTTGTATAAGGAAACGATGAAGGACAATTCAAGTTATAAAGTCATTTCTATACATATATATAAATTGACTTCAATAATATTGATGACCGAGACTAACTCACAAAGTCCAATCGTTTTTGAGTTTGAAACCGGATAATATCATCTCATGCTTTTGTGAACCTTCTTTATAAATATGCAAATACTATCGACGCATGTAATGTTACCAGCGGCAGTTGCATGTTTAATTTAGTTTGTCTGTCTTCATGTAATTATATCCAAATTATACACC